TATCTAATATTACCTCCGATGCTGTCATTACAGAGTGGCAAAAATATTACTAAGTTCGGTTTCAAAACGTTTTGTAAATCAAAAGGTAATATTATTTGAGTTGGTTAGTAATTTTTTTTTCAATGTTAGTTCATAAATTTGAAGATTTGTTTGGTCAGAAAATCTGTTTCCCGTTGTGTAATAAAGCTACTGGTAACCTCACTGAAGTTGATCGTATGTAAGTTGATTCTGCCATCGAATTCCTACCTTCAAACTGTACTTTAAGATTGTACTTAATTACTCCGTGTACCTAGAACAGTTGTTTCTTTTAAAGAATTCAACAGGACAATAAGAAAATGTAGTTTATCTGATGTATGTGATGTATTAGTGGAATACAAACAGTTGTCATTTTACGTGATTATACTTCTGTTAACATCAGTCCATTAAAAGTTCCACTTCTTTACGTTATAGGGCTTCTTACATATAGTAGTAGTGTTAAATTTACATTTTAGGGGGGAATTATTTTCACCGGATCGACAGTGTTGTCATGCAAAATTCTTTAGGGAACGCTAAAGCTCATCAAACTTTTATTGAACAACAGTTTTCCCCTGAAATTCAACAATCGTAATACTAATGCCAAGAAAAAAGATCTACTGTTCTGTTAGTTCGAAAGAAAGATATATATGTGCAACATGCTACATGCTATATAGATGATTAACGCAGTGTGACAGCCAAACAAAGACATGACTCGGTTATCTAAGAAGAAATGGCCAACAGATAAACTTATATGCTCCTCTAAACACTTGGAGTGTTTGAATGATGGAGTCGAATGCTGATGCGATTATCAGATCACAGGCTAGCCTGGTCACCCATACATAAGGAGAACTCATCCATCTTTCCAAATAAAAGCTACAGAAGATGTTCCAAAATGGCTATAACACCAAATCAAATGGAATCATCCCACTCAACCAAACAATAGGTGTCCAAATTTGTCTGTAGCTAAATATCTCACTGATTTGCCTACATCTTGTAATCTGACTTTAAAAAAACTTGTTGGTGGCATCTTCTTAATTTTTATGAGGCTCTAACTAAGAGGAAGCTTTGATCGCCCTTATGTATTCCAAAACAATTTGTTCTTGTAATTAACTAGCTCTGGTAACTTACCTTTAATAGCATCAATGACTAATATACTATCTTTCTCATCCTCATCTAAACCAATAATTTGACCCTATAAAGTAGCGACTATTTCTTTGACCCATTTATTTTTGTTTTCATGTAAATATGCATAGTGTACGTATGTGACCGGATTGTTGTAAATGTTTTGTACATCACACGTTTCAGGTAAAGTATGTCTTCTTCTTACTTCAGACTGGTTTCATCTCTGATAAATTGGCGAATATCCTTCTCTTATGCGGTAATGCGGTATGCAAGACCAAAAATGTAGATAATGATGACTGTTCTCCTATTGTCGATTAAGGGCCACGTGTACTGCACAGCAGTCCGCTTTGTTCTACTGTATGGCTGTGAAGCATGGTCACTCAAGGTGGAAGACATGAGAAGGCTTCAGATGTTTCACCACCGTTGCCTTCGTAGTATAGGCCTTATTTCGTGGTGCCGCCATGTGAGAAATGCGGCAGTCAGAAGTAGAGTTTTAGAGAGGGAGAGGAGGTAAATCAGTTGACACGATTGTGAACCTTCGTTGACTGAGATGGCTAGCAGGGACATGTGTTACTTATGCCTAGTCCCCAATAGCCTCGTCACACAATGTTGGCTGAGGGCTGGAAAAAGGCTCGAGGAGGCCAGACCAAAACTTAGCATCAACGCACGAAGTGTCAGACTGTCAAGTTGAGCCATGTGGGGCGATGCAGACTAGGTGGTTGGGGTCCACGGGACAAGAAAAACCAGTGGTTGGAGGCTGTAGGTGATAAAGCCGAGAGCTGATGTCAGTGGCGCAGATGCATACACACATTATCCTCATCTTAACGATGCTATACCGAGTCTCACCATTTTCTCATTCTTCATCCCTTTCTTTGAGTGCTTTGTATCTCTTTCAACTGAATTTTTCCCCTCACCTTCCACTTTACTGCCTTTTTACTTGATGTACTGATGTGAGCTGTGGCAACTCGGACCTTTATGTAGGAATGCCTAGTCCTATGTTGATTTGGATGGATGGATGTTTTTCAATTGTTTTTGACATGTATATCTCACATACTGAAGCCCACATTATTCTCGTTTCATGGTGATGTAAGCTGAAGGGTTTCTTTAACCACTACTGAGCATGTCTATTCATTTAATTGGCACCCTGGACTTATTCACATTTTTTTCTGGTGAATTCAAAATGAAAAGATGGTTTTCATGCTAGTTAAAGACAGATTTTCACATCCAGACAAGTCAGACGTGAGAGCAGTTACTCAACGACGGCACACGATGGAGGTCACGTTATATCATGAACTGACAGAAGTAGAAAATGTGTATCGCTGGATTCCCACCTTATCGCTCGATAGTAACGTGCTGACTATAGAAATTGTAGGTTGTGAGTTTGACTCGTGACGAGGCAATGGTTGTGCACAGTTGAAGATTGTCATACTTCAACGAAACAGCTGTCTCCAACTGATATCAGTCGATGTTGAATACCAACCTGATATCCAAATCTATTGTTTGTATAATTTCAGATGAGCATTTGTAAACATTCTTAAGAGAAGTAAAGTTATTTCCCACTGTTGTTAATGTGTATACGACCACATAAATGATTTCAAAGATTGTCGGTGAACAACTCATGGAACATGCGTTCTCGAATAAACCTAAGTCATGTTCAATCAAAATGCAATGAGTCAAGCATAATCAGGTAGGGCATAAATTAAAATGGTGTCCAATGAAGTATAAAAAGATTTATATTGAACATTTAATTCTGACTAAAAATGTATTCCTTTTGTAACCATATGTTGATAAAATAGTTAAGAATATTCAGTAGTCAAAGATAAGTTTTCCGAGTACTCCGATGTAAGTTAGAACAAATTTACAGCCATCGTCATAGATACCTCTCCATAAAGAGCTGTCAGTCAAATTTTTCAATACAAGAATTTGAAGACGGCGGTTAATGCGAATATCCAAGCCTTAGAAGATATCAAAGAGTGAGTACATCTACGCCATTGTGACCGATTTTCATCCATATCACGAAGAATCAGTCCTCAAGCATTGGTTCCTATCGTTTCGATGACCACAACCAGACTTCCTGGACTGGTGTCAAATATTAGTGTTGCCACCCTAAACCGTCTTCCAACCTAATCCAACTTCCCCTAGCATGGCACATAGAGGTACGGGGTAGGTCAGCGTGTGCTACACATGTCCAAATTACCTTAGCAGATGAAGGTTCACAACCTCATCGACTGACTTGACTATCTTGCATAGTACCCTTTGCCTAACCACAACATTGCTCATTGGGTGATTCCACTGGGTAAGAGCAATTCTACAAAGACATCTGTGGTCAAAACCTGCTTCATGTCTTCCACTTTTACTTCTTACTTGCTGAAGTAAATAATTTCCCATGGGTAAATTGAATATATGTTCGAAGTTACTGGTAAGTATCACCAACTGTATGGAATGGCAGCGAATAACAGAGCGGGATAATAATATTTACGTAGCTTTTTGACGATAATTAGATCACAAATATCATCGTTTAAATAGTAAGTTTTTAAAACGATAATCTTAATTATCTGATTATCTGAACAGCTGTTGTTAATCAAGAACTCCTGCGCACCTGTTGATTCGTTTCTTTTACAGACACTAATAGCATTGTTATAAACATTATAGCCTTTACGAAGGCATATCTGCACTGTCAACATTAAAAAATGTTGAAAGGAAAAAAAGCAGTTGCTTCAACCTACTTATTACCAGTAAATGGCCTTCGTTTAACGGTACTCATCAAATGTTATTATTATTTTCCCATTGGGTTCCTAGTAATATACGCCTATATTGCACTCTCTTCCCTCCAGTCTTTCAACCTAGCTCCACCACTACCCACAAGCTCTCATTTCTTCCTCATATCATATCCTACATGTCACCCTCACCTCAGAAGCCCAACTCGTCGTTTACCCCTTGGATTCCACTCGACCAACTAACCTGATGCGTGATGTCCCCAATCGGTCTTCTCAGTGTATGCCCAATCAAATCCATCTCCATTTACTTCTTCTGCATATTTGTTAGGTGATGGGTTCTTCGTTGGTTGGTTGGTTGTTTGGTTGTCAGGCAGAGTTCCTTGTTGCTTATTCTCATTATTCTGGCCATCTGATCTGATCTGATCTTCAGTATTGAGTGAGCGTATGTGGCAGTTGTTGATGAATAACTGTAGTTTGTTAGAAGTGCTTTTCGTAACGTGCAGCCAAGTTTGTGAACCACATGGAAGCACTGACTTGACTGGCATTAGTGTTGAAAATCTGGATATCGTTCACGCTTCATGTTGATTGCAGTAGATATGCACACTGGTTTTAAGGTTATTGAACGCCTGTCTTGCTGTCTTTCCGATGCTGGCTGCTTTGACTTCTTCGTCTGTGCCTATGTCATCTGTAGTTGAAACGATGCCGCCTTCTTAATTAATATTTCTCCTGTTGATGGTGACTGGTGCCTCTAATTGTTGATGCTGTTGTTGGTTGGGCATCTTCATCACCTCTATCTTCTGTATATTCATTTGAAGTACCGTTTCGCTGCCCCACGTCTTCTGTCAACTTGTTAGTATTCGCCTGTAGATCTTCGAGTTTGTGCGACATTAAACATAAATCACCAGCGAACTCTAAATCTTCTCCTGAGGTTTTTTGTCGGTCAAACAGCGCATGTCCATCTTCTTGCTCCTCACGGTTTTCTGTATCATCTAGTCCAATCTCATCAAATGTGTCAGATGACAATTTTATGCTTTTCGCACTGGTGTACATATGTGCTAAATGTTTAGCTATTTTACATTTATGTAAAAATTCAGTTTAGCCTTACTTTCTATTTATTTCTCCTTTGTTTTACTTATTATTTGACAGGATCTTGTTGACAGTGCAAGGTGTATACTGGCTAAACTTCAGACGCTTAATATCTGAAAAGAAAACAAATGTTTGTAACAAGAACTTAGTTTTCCTGCATGCTAAACTCTTATAGTCATGCAAATTTAATAGTAAAAAGAATTTCCTCTTAATTAAAAAGAAAATATTCGGTGTTATTCTTTGTAATTTGGATGTCATAATGGAAAGATTTGTTTATCCTCGTGTTGATAGATTCTGGTCGTGTAACTGCGGAACCTGCAAAAAATTAGTCATTCTATATATAGTATATGAAACCATTACAGATCCTTTATTAAAGGAGAAATTTTCTACCACTCTAAAGACAGAAGGTTAAAAAGGAACTGGACAGAAGTATGTGACTTAGACTGTTGAAACACAAGAGATGCTAGCTGTCACCATTCGCGTTTTGCTTCACTACAGACTTGAGATTGTGTGTAACATTAGGCGACTCCAACTTTATAGGGATAGACTTACTCCTTTGAGGGTAGCTGGGTGAAATGGAATACACAGACGATATTATTCAGTTAGTCAAAGGCTTTGAAAAATTGAAAGGTCTTCTAGACGCCTTTAGTAGTAATCTGAGTATATTTGGATTAGCTTCCACATGCATCGAATGTAATATGATGCTCCAAAACTGGTCTGAAACTACTCTCACTTTGAAAATAGGAAGTGAAGTGGACTAATTCGTTGACCATTTCACTTAATCGGATAGGCGCATCAAAAGCAATGAGTTGGTTTCCGACAAAATCTCTGCTCGAATACAATAGGCTTGATTATCATTTGTGAAGTTGAAGCTGATTCACTTCTACACGTAGTTTGACGTTGAGATTTTCAACTTTTCGTCCATCTGTCTTCACCTATGAACAAAACACATGGAGAGTAATAAGATATACAACGTATCTGATGATATTTTTCATTCTATTACTTTGAAACAGATATATTAATAAAAATTATTATTATTTGTCTCTTGGGTTCCTAGTGGAACATACGGATTCAGTAGCACATCTCCATTACACTCTCTTCTCTCCAGTCTTTCCAACCTAGCTCAACCACTACCCACAAGCTCTCATTTCTTCCTCATTCCATCTCCTACATGTCACCCTCACCTCAGACACCCAACTCGTCGTTTACTCTTTGGATTCCACTCGACCAACTGACCTGGTGCGTGATGTCCCCAATCGGTCTTCTCAGTGTATGCCCAATCAAATCCATCTCCACTCACTTCTTCTGCATATTTGTTGTGTGATGGGTTCTTGGTTGGTTGGTTGGTTGGTTGGTTGGCTGGTTGGTTGTCAGGAAGAGTTCCTTGTTGCTTATTCTCATTATTCTGGCCATCTGATGTGATCTTCAGTATTGAGTGAGCGTATGTGGCAGTTGTTGATGAATATCTGTAATTTGTTGGGAATGCATTTTGTTACGCGCCAAGTTTGTGAACCACATGGAAGCACTGACTTGACTGGCATTGGTGTTGAAAATCTGGATGTCGTTCACACTTCATGCTGATTGCAGTAGATCTTCACACTGGTTTCAGGTTAATGAGCACCTGTCTTGCTATTCCGATCCTGGCGATATTAATAAACTTGCTGTTAATTTTATCAAAATGAGCAGTACCAAAACAGCTGCTGAATAAACGTCTTTGAAATAACACTAAATTGATATGTGAAACAGCAGTATTAAAGAGAAAAAATATCTATAACTTAGAAAACTACGATTATTTACAATCATTCCAGAAAAGAATTCGTCGTTTCCTTCTATCATCACTTTCACAGTTCAACATGGAATTTACATTTCGCGTAGATTTGTGTAATTTTCAAGAACATATATTTCGCACATATTGGATACTGAACTTTCTAAGGAGAAAGGTAGAACTGTTGAGATTCACTGATTAAAAGTAAATTAGAACAAGGCAAATATAAGCGAACAACATCGTTTCCAATTAGATCTTCTTTAGGCTTTAGTTTCATACAAATACCTTAATACATATAGAATTAAACCAGTCATATAGGATACCACATCATCTTTCAAAAGGTATTCCAACTTTTCTTTTATACATAGCAGAAGCTATAGGAATTCAAGCTAATAATCCTAGTCTATGTATCCAGAAGAAATTTGTACATCCCTAATCTCTTCCTTGGCCAGGGAATACTTCGTTAATAACTTTATTATTGAATTTTGAGTGAGTTATGGGGATTTGGAAATACTTCAAACTGTTATTCATCATAGACTGACATCAATTGGAGGAACAAAGGAAACCTGGGAGCACTGGACAGCTACCTTCATATGCCTTTATTATAAATCATTTTTTTTGTATCATTCATTCTTGGAATGGTTTCGTTTCCAATCTCTGGTTAATAATAAAAATATTAGTTGTGTAGATATCGAGTGTTTAAAAAATAATACTGTCTATGGAATACTAATAGGCGTACAAACATGATAGAAGTCTCAATGTAATCACAAGCATCATCATGCTGTATGAATTAATTTTCACATGGAGACATTTTAAAACCTAGACATTCTTCGATTTTACTGCTGAAGGAAATTTTCTTCTCAAAGAATTATTTTTAAAAGCTTTACATTCATAGTTATAGTTACAACAAAAATGTATGTTGATCAACTGCTGATGGGTCAATGAAAAGTTATTTAGAACTGTCAATAGAGCCACAAAAGAACTATGGCTAGAAGGTTAACAAAAGGTCATCAAAAATTATGTTTCGGATCATAATAATTAAACAAATAATAAATATCATCTAACTTTCGGAGATAGCCGTAGTTTAACAGACCAGCATTTATACTGGGTGATGATTGAAGGTGAGACGAAAATTTGGACCGCGGTCGGATTCGAACCAGTGATCATCGGGTTCCCGGCTCGATATCCTACCAGCTGAGCTACAAGACCAGACTGCTGACCAGATTTTTATTTCACTCCAGTCACCAAGGATTTTTCCCGACTACCATATGAATCCATGACGCGTTACTACCACTTGATCGTATTCATACTGGTTGCCTAGTGAAGACTTCTCATCCCAATCTAAATCGAAGTGAATTAGAGACATGGAGCATCATATTGATTGGTGACTGAAGGGAAATAAGAATCTGGTCAACAGTCGGACCTCGTAGGTCAGTTGGTAGAGCATTGGGCCAGAAACCCGGTGATCACTAATTCGAACCCCAGGGTGGTCCAAATTTTCATCTCACCTTCAATCATCACCCAGCATAAATGATAAATAAATAAAATGTATTAAGGAAATCATGACCAAGGTAAAACTAGATATTGAAGGCATCTCTGCCGAATGCAGACATCAGGATTGAACCAGTAGATTACCAAAGCTTCTTCTGTTTACATGTGGCGAATCAAGACTCTTCGAAATGCTTGATTTGACTTAATAAATAACTTTGAACGAAGATTCTCTTGAAGCAGAGTGAACACAGTTACCCAGATGCTCAGGAATCAAGCTGCAAATCTCTTTGCACTCTCCTTTTAACAGATATGCGAAAAATCGTTCGAAGATAGGTTTTCGTCAAACACGCTTCGTATGACTCATGTAACTAGCTATACATGACTAGGTGAATTGGTTAAGAAACATGGAGATGACACAAAACTTTTAGAAATGATTTGTCGAAAAGAGAATTCTCTTAGCTGGATTAGTGTTATTGCTTGTAATACAAGCAATAACACTAAACCTATACCCGTCACACAAGAAGTGGCTATCGTGCCTCGGTGTAGTGGGTAACGTGCTGGCGTTTGGAGCGATCGCCCCCGAATCCGAGTCCCGGTGGGGACAAAATCACTCACTGGGAAGCGGGTGCATCCAGCTGACCAGTGAGTCCTAAATAAGACGAAATGCACATCCTGGATTCCACTGCTAGCCACTGCCCATCATTCGCTGAATTGTTCTTGACCATCTTATGAGACTAATTATCAAAATTGTCGAATACATTAATACTACAATATTATTATTTGTCCCTTGGGTAGCACGTCACTATTTCACTCACTTCTCTTCAGTCTTTCCAACATGGCTACACCATTGCCCACAAGCTCTCATTTCTTCCTCACATCATCTCCTCCATGTCACCCTCACCTCGGACACCCAACTCATCGTTTCCCATTTGAGTTCCACTCGATGACCTGACTTAGCCTGGCCTGGTCTGTTGCGTGATGTCCCCAAACGGTCTTTTCAGTGTATGTCCAATCCAATCGAATCCATCTCCACTTACTTCTTCTGCATATTTGTTGGGTGATAGGTTCTTGCTTCGTTGGTTCGTTGACAGGTCAGAGTTCCTTGTTGCTTATTCTCATTATTCTGGCCATCTGATCTTTAGTATTGAGTGAGCGTAGGAAGCAACTGTTAATGAATCTTTGTAGTTTGCTGGAAATACTTTTAGTAACGCCTAAAGTATCTCAGCCATCACATAGAAGCACTGACTTACTTGACTGAATTAGTGTTGAATTCCAGAGCTTGTTCTTTATGCTGAGTGTAGTGGATCTCCACACTGACTTCAGATTGATGTTGGAAGGCCTGTCTTGCTGTCTTTCAGATCCTGGCTGCTTTGACATCGTCATCTGTGCCTGTGTCGGCTGTAGTAGAAGCGATGTTGCCTAGATAGATGAAAGAGACTACTTCGTTTAGGTTTCTGAGGTTGATGATGATTGGTGTTTGTTGTTGTTGGTTGGGTATCTTCATCACCTTTGTGTTCCCCACGTTCACTTGAAGGAAGTTCCGTCTTCGCTGCCTCACCTCGCCTCTTCTGCCAACTTGTTGGTTTTCGCCAGTAGATCTTCGAGTTTGCGCGACACGACATTAGACATAAATCATCATCAGTGGCGAAATCCAAATCTTCTCCTGGTGTCTTTTCATCGGTCAAACAACGTATGCAGGTCTTCTCCCTCCTCACAGTCTGTTGCATGATCCAGTCCACCGCAATCAAGATGATATGTGATAGTAGGCGGCACCCTTGTCCTACTCCTGTCTTCACTTCACTTCAAACCCGTCACTCAGCTTTCCATTGTGATTCACTTGGTATGTAGCATCATATATCAT